ACATTCCCGGAATGCCGATCAGTTAAGTATAAATAAGATGTATGCGGATAAAGTTTATTTTTGAACCAGAAACGAATTGTGCACGATGGTCAAAAAATTATAATATATTTATTACACATACTCCTCATTCGTACATATGTAAAAAAATGTATGCCGAAATATGAGTGAAACTTTATTAATAATTATGTTCGATATCAGTTATGTCATATAACCTGGTGCAGTAAACATTACTTATGAAGCAAACTTTGCCGATACTTAATTATACATTATTACATAATTTACACAATAATGTTACATTATTTATACTCTTTTGCATGTTGAATTTGCTAGAGAATTTTAGGGAAGAGCAGTTACGAAATTGGTTAATCCAGCCTCATCTGCTTCGTCTAAAAATTTATACCCTTGGTTTGGCAAATGTACGAAGAAAAATTGGTCTAGAACATCAGTCCCAACAAGAGAACTGTCTATTTTATTGTCAGGTCTTCTTTGCCAAACTCTAAGGGTATCTATGCCTACCCATTTACTCCATCTATTATTGTCTCCGATAGAAACTTCAAATGTGTCCGATGCATAAAAAACACGATTAGGGTGTCCATATCCGTTAGCAATCATACTTTGATCAGTATTTCAGAATTCAGACCATGTGTTCTTGATTAACATGTCGAGCAGATACAGTTCTTGCTGGCAGAGACTTTACAAGATCATCACGACGCGATTTATCGACCGGCAAATATATTGCGCCAGGCATTTCTTCTTCGAGGACCTTTAGTTCCTTTCTCGTATATTCTGGCCCATATTTTATCAATTGCTGTTTATACACCAATACCCATTCGTCTTTATGTTCATTAAATGTTCCTTTGTCAATATTATCATAGAAGAAGATGAGGTTGAATGCTGTTTCATCGTCAAATTCCAAGGCAGATTCCTCGTCAGCCAAGAAAAAGAAGACCATGCCTCTGTCAGCATCTTTCATCGAAGTGGGCCACCTGAATTTCTGTCCCACACGATCTACAAAAGCAACAGTTAGAAAGAGTCTCAAAGCGAATATTTATTCAGAAAAGTTTCAGCCTTACCCAGAAATTTTTGCGCTTGCCCTGGTAATGTTTCATACTTACGGAGAGACTCAATTGTCTCAGGATGGGATGTTTCAGTCATTGTAGGATTTAATATTTCAGTTGTGGTAGGTTTTAACGCTTCGGGCGGATTGGATGCTGTATCATTAAATATTTATTGAGAATAAAATCGTCATTTAATGACTGGAATGTTTTACAATGATAAACATGAACCTCTCTTTCCGATGGACTTCAAAAACTTGGGTATCTTAATCATCTTCCTTCCTGTAGACATAAGTTAATAACAGAAAAAATAGTGTAGATTTAATGCAGTCGTGTGTACTTACTTTTCTTTTCGTCGTTAAGTTTCGAATCAGTTGTCGCAGAAGCAGTAGACATATGGGTGAAAACTAGTGAGAGTCAGGATTAGTATAGAAAAATAAGAAAAATAAATTTATTTTTTTGGTGCAAAATTAGGAAAATTTTTTATATGGAATCTATCGTCGCACAGATGTTTATTAGTAATATGGCGCAGTAGTCACGCAAATTTTTAAATTCGCAGTTCACATTTAAAGGCATTTTCAGGTGTACATGATTAAAAAATTTCTCGTGAACAAAAGTTCACTGGGAGGAGAAAGGTTTCTAAAGAAACTAGCTAAAATCGTGGAAAAAAAACAATCATGCTCACCAAAATCACGTGAAATTTTACTTGCTCTGACTTTGAACATTTACGCGAAAAAGGTTGGCGAAGATTTATTAATTTTTAAGTATATCCTAAAGACATATCCTCATTGCTCCGCGACATCAAAGGAGCGATATTACTGCGCATTATTTACAAGGGATGAACATTGTGTCCGGACTCGTCCAATTGCACAGGATCAGCTTCCGGTTAATGTTTTTATGCATATAAGATCAGCATCATACTTGGTTGGTTTATAGCATTTGACTTACATTCTACGTATGCATTTTGAGTGTTGTGTTTTATAACTGAATACTTATCACGCTAGAAAGAAAAACTCCCTCAAATAAAATTTCGTTTATCTCAACTTTCCTGATACTAATTCGACAAGCTATTCCTCTTCATATATAAGTTTTATTTTTGGGTATAAGTTTTGGAAATCGCTTTTTATGTTATCTCTTATCCGCAAACAATCCCTAATTTCTATCACTCCTAATTTAGTGGCTAGTTTTGGTCTATATTTATTTCTCCAATAAATTTTAGGCCTAGCATTTGTTCACATGCGACTGGCTTAGTATTTTTGCTTAATGCCTTAGTGAACTTGACTCCAGAAATGCTTGTTAGGACTATTCTTTGCCATATTAGTCTACTAGCAATATGGTACCATTGCTTATTAACTAATAAAAGAGGATGTAATTTTTCGCCCTATTTCTTTCATAATATTGG